GGTAGATAAAGATATACGTTTATAACATATGAAATCCCCAAAGTTCAATATGTCCATATGTTATTAATATCTATGTGATGATTTTTTTTCTAGCAACCATATATGTGAACATAATTTTATTTATGTTTGTTTATGTATGGCTTTGTTATTTATATATATATATATATATAATTTTTTTTTTTTAAATACATGTTTATCTTTATATTTACTTGCATAATATTTATGTGTATTGACAGTTTTTATGATGGATATACATGTACAGGTCCAAAAATATTTTACACATACATAAACATACATATGTGTATGGAATAGATATAAATATATGATGTTAATATATTAAAATGGTACAATTTTGTAATAGATTTCATATGTTTTACTTCATATGACAATATACTTCATGTATGGAAGTTTAAAGGGATAGTTCACCCAAAAATGTAAATTCTGTCATTAATTACTCACCCTCATGTCGTTCCAAACCTGTAAGACCTGCGTTCATCTTCCGAACACAAATTAAGATATTTCTGATGAATTCCGAGAGCTCTCTGACCCTCCCATAGACCGCAAGGATCTTATCACGATCAAGACTCAGAAACGCAGTAAGGACATCATTAAAATAATCCATGAAACATCAGTGGTTCAACCGTAATTTTACGAAGCTAGGAGAATACTTTTTGTGACCAAAGAAAACAAAAATAAGGACTTTATTCAACAATTCGTCTCCTCCACATCACCCTGGTGCCATTTTGGAGAGTATCACATACGCAAACAACGTATGCTGTTCTGTGTCAGCAGCACCGTATGCGGATACGTTGTTTACGCTTTGATCTGAACGTAAACAACGTATCCGCGTACATTGTTTACGCATACAAAAAGTATACTCATAGCTTCGTAAAATTACGGTTGAACCCCTGATGTCACAATGACTATTTTAACAATGTCCTTACTGCGTTTCTGGATCTTGATTGCGGTAGGATCCTTGCTGTCTATGGAGGGTCTTGGATTTCATCAAAAATATCTTAATTTGTGTTCTGAAGATGAACGAAGGTCTTACGGGTTTGGAACGACATAAAGGGGAGTAATTAATGACAGAATTTTCATTTTTGGGTGAACTATCCCATTAATATATGTACATACATATATTACATTTGTGTATGGGTGATCTTAAACATTTCAACATTAGTGTATAGTAACTGAGATCAAGCGCTGCGGTGGTTTTACAATCGATGGGAGAAATTGAGACACACAATATGGCGGTTTTAGTATCATAAATCAGCAGCGCCACCGTCTGGTCTTTATGTGAAGCATTTGCTGAACCGACCCGAAAGAGATAGTTTGAAAAGTTATGAAACAATGATTATGGTATCATTAATGTCAGATTTTATTGCTGCTTTGAAATATATTATTGAACTGTGAGTTTCTGTTATTGAATTTAAGTTTAGTCATTCATCATTCAATACTGGAGCTGTAGCTGCGTGACTGAAAACAGCTGCATGAGTGTCTCTAAAATGGCCGCTGAGCTTCAATCGCCATCATGTGACAGATCTATAAGAGCACAATGAATCAAATCAAAACCTCAACACTGTGCAGATTCAATCAGTCCAGTTTCCAGCATTTCTCTTCTCCCTACAGAGAGTCAGAATATGAGGAGAAAGAGCAAAAACAAGATCTTCCTCTGAGCAGCTGCAGAAAGAGTTCAGTCACTGTGACTCTGACTGACGGAGGTTTTTGTACGACTCTTTATCACTGTGTGAATATATGTATACTGTTTATGTAGTGGAAACTCTGACAGTAATAATGTCCAGCATCTTCAGTCTGGACTCCACTGATGGTCAGAGTGAAATCAGTCTTAGATCCACTGCCACTGAATCTAGATGGAGTTCCTGACTGGAGAGTGTTTGCATAATAAATCAGGAGTTTAGGAGCTTCTCCAGGTTTCTGTAAATACCAGGCTAAATAATGATCCGAACCACTCAAGTATACATCTGTGCTGGTTCTACAGTTGATTTTGACTGTTTCTTCTGGTTGAGCTGCTGTCGTTGAGGGACTCTGAGTGACGCTGATCTGTCCTCTACTCTCTGAAACACACAACAAGAAGAAAATCAATTTGGAGAGTATCACATACGCAAACAACGTATGCTGTTCTGTGTCAGCAGCACCGTATGCGGATACGTTGTTTACGCTTTGATCTGAACGTAAACAACGTATCCGCGTACATTGTTTACGCATACAAAAAGTATACTCATAGCTTCGTAAAATTACGGTTGAACCCCTGATGTCACAATGACTATTTTAACAATGTCCTTACTGCGTTTCTGGATCTTGATTGCGGTAGGATCCTTGCTGTCTATGGAGGGTCTTGGATTTCATCAAAAATATCTTAATTTGTGTTCTGAAGATGAACGAAGGTCTTACGGGTTTGGAACGACATAAAGGGGAGTAATTAATGACAGAATTTTCATTTTTGGGTGAACTATCCCATTAATATATGTACATACATATATTACATTTGTGTATGGGTGATCTTAAACATTTCAACATTAGTGTATAGTAACTGAGATCAAGCGCTGCGGTGGTTTTACAATCGATGGGAGAAATTGAGACACACAATATGGCGGTTTTAGTATCATAAATCAGCAGCGCCACCGTCTGGTCTTTATGTGAAGCATTTGCTGAACCGACCCGAAAGAGATAGTTTGAAAAGTTATGAAACAATGATTATGGTATCATTAATGTCAGATTTTATTGCTGCTTTGAAATATATTATTGAACTGTGAGTTTCTGTTATTGAATTTAAGTTTAGTCATTCATCATTCAATACTGGAGCTGTAGCTGCGTGACTGAAAACAGCTGCATGAGTGTCTCTAAAATGGCCGCTGAGCTTCAATCGCCATCATGTGACAGATCTATAAGAGCACAATGAATCAAATCAAAACCTCAACACTGTGCAGATTCAATCAGTCCAGTTTCCAGCATTTCTCTTCTCCCTACAGAGAGTCAGAATATGAGGAGAAAGAGCAAAAACAAGATCTTCCTCTGAGCAGCTGCAGAAAGAGTTCAGTCACTGTGACTCTGACTGACGGAGGTTTTTGTACGACTCTTTATCACTGTGTGAATATATGTATACTGTTTATGTAGTGGAAACTCAGACAGTAATAATGACCAGCATCTTCAGTCTGGACTACACTGATGGTCAGAGTGAAATCAGTCTTAGATCCACTGCCACTGAATCTAGATGGAGTTCCTGACTGGAGAGTGTTTGCATAATAAATCAGGAGTTTAGGAGCTTCTCCAGGTTTCTGTAAATACCAGGCTAAATAATGATCCGAACCACTCAAGTATACATCTGTGCTGGTTCTACAGTTGATTTTGACTGTTTCTTCTGGTTGAGCTGCTGTCGTTGAGGGACTCTGAGTGACGCTGATCTGTCCTCTACTCTCTGAAACACACAACAAGAAGAAAATCAACTCAAAACTCTGACAATATACTTGAAGAAATGAATTCATATCAAACTTGTGCTCCACAAACCTTGAGCAAAGGCTGTGAGAGTCCAGATGAAGATGATGATGAAGGTCATGTTGATGAAGATTGTTGTGTGTGTCAGTGATGAAGTGTTAAACTCACAGCACTATAAACACTCTCAGAGCACTGAAGCATCTGATCAATATGCAAACACTCTCCAGATCATTTACCTGAAGACAGTCGCAGACTGTTAAGAGACACAAAATGCACTTACGTGAGAAAAAAATCCATCTTTTTATTATTATTTGAATCCGATCATTCACTTACGTTATACATCTTCAAGACCAACTTTAGTATGACCTGGCAATCTCATATTAGACTTTGAGAATATTTTTGACTGTAGCTGGAGAGAAACATGACTGTTAATCCCTATATTTTATGTCAAATCCATGGATGTTCCTGCAGGTTTTACAGACATGAGGATCATCACACATCTCTGTCAATCACTGAATCAACTGAGCTTGATTGTGAGTCACGTCACATATGATATAAAATGTCAATTTTTTCATAAATTCGTTTTGATGCTTTAGTAATAACACAGACTGCATAAAGCAGATGAAGTAACTGAAGGTAATGTCTGCTGTGAGTGGATGTGTTTGTTGGAGACTCAGTTGATGTGTGTTTGTGCAGTTAGTGAAGCGTTCAGGAGGTTTTTGTTCAGCTGCTCTATTAGTTTCTATCACTGTGGTGGACTTTCGGCAGCGGCACCAAACTGGATGTTGGCAGTAAGTAAATCATCATTTAATATTATTAATACAACAACTGACTGTTAAACACTTTGTGGCTCTATAGAAAGGATGCACATTTTCGCTTATTTATATATCTTAATTTTATTTTTTAGTTCACTCTTAGTAATGTTTGGCAATCAACCTCAACTTAAATTTTCAGATTAGTGTGTTGATTTTTAAGTAAAACCTGCAGATAATGGAAATGATGGTTGTTTAATTGTATTATTTTTTTTTGTTTTGTTTACAAATTTTTGATAGGTTAATAATTTATAGTAGACATGGCAGACAAAAGTTATATTTTCTGTACTTTAAAAAAACATTTGCACCCAATCTTCTCATGCTGTCATCACAAACTGTAATGAACTCCTGCAGTTATTATATTTACTCACATCTGATCTTTGAGTGCTTCATACAAGACTATATGTGTGCTTTATCATTCTGTCGTGATTTTATTACAATTCAGTTAGTAAATAAAATTGTAGCTTTATGACTTTGAGTCTTTTTGTGTCACTTGTGTTTGTGGTCTTTAGCTCACATTTGATAAATAAACTTCACTCATTGGAGCATGAAAACACCTGCAGATTCATGATGAAACAAGAACATGCGGCCAAATTATTAACCTCACAGATATAGTTCAAGATTAATTGAGAATTTGAAAATCCTGACTGTTGAGTGAGTGTTAGTGTTAGAGCAGCTGCAGCATCAGTTCATCACTGTGACTCTGACTGACGGAGGTTTTTGTACCACTCTTTATCACTGTGTGAACACATTAACACTGTTGATGTAGTGTACACTCTGACAGTAATAATGTCCAGCATCTTCAGTCTGGACTCCACTGATGGTCAGAGTGAAATCTCTCCCAGATGATCTGCTGCCACTGAATCTAGATGGAACTCCTGGCTGGAGGGTGCTTGTTGCATAAATCAGGAATTTAGTTGCTTCTCCAGGTTTCTTTAGGTACCAGTTAAGAAAATGATTTCCATTATTACAGCAGTTTGCATCACTGTTCAATTTACAGTTTACAGTGACTGATTGTCCAGTTTGAGCGAGCAGCACTGAGGGAGTTTGAGTCACTGTCACCTGCCCAATAGATTCTGTCAAATGAGAAAGATTAGAAATCACAAACACTTTTACAACCATATATCTTCAGAACATAAAAAATATCAACACATGTTATCTTTACTGACACAAACCTCTACATAATACTGCCAGCATCCAGATCAGTATGGCGATGAAAGTCATTTTTGTTGGTTGTAGGTTCAGTTAGAGTGAAAAACAGTTATTGGTCATGTTTGATGTTTGTCAGAGTTATAAACACATGCAGAGCACTGAAGCATGTGTCGCTCATGTAAAACAGTAGTAGTAGTAGTAACTTTATTTATCCCCTTGGGGAAATTTTGTTTCAGTGTCTTGTTTCAATATGCGATTCTCACAAACGACAATACAACATAAATTTCACAATAGAAACAATACAATTTAACATCAATTAATCAAGAAGTGCTAATTACTGGGTTGCTCTTTCAGTTAAAATAGAGAAAAGCTCTCAGTCATGAAGTGCTCACAGCACTATAAACACTCTCAGAGCACTGAAGCATCTGATCAATATGCAAACACACTCCACATCATTTACAGTAGGTAAAATAAGTATTGAACACGTCACCATTTTCTCAGTAAATATATTTCTAAAGGTGCTGTTGACATGAAATTTTCACCAGATATCGGTAACAACCCAAGTAATCTATACATACAAAGAAAACCAAACAAATAAGTTCACAAATTATGTTCGGAGTAATAAAATGGAATGACACAGGGTAAATGTATTGAACTACTGAAATGTATTTAATACTTAGTACAAAAGCCTTTATTGGTAATGATAGCTTCAAGACACCTTCTGTATGGAGAAACTAGTTGCATACATTGCTCAGGTGTGATTTTGGCCCATTCTTTCACACAAACAGTCTTCAAATCTTGAAGGTTCTGTGGGCCTCTTCTATGAACTCTTTAGTTCTTTTTTTCTATTGGACTCAAGTCCGGTGATTGGCTGGGCCATTCTAGCAGCTTTATTTTCTGTGTTTGGGATCATTGTCTTGCTGAAATGTCCACCCTTGTTTCATCTTCATCATCCTGGTACTGTAGGTGTTGGGACTGAACCAGCTAATATTAATCTCCACTGACAAGGGGCAGGATTGCTTTCTAATTACTGATAGATTTCAGCTGGTGTATTGGCTTTCCATGCCTTTTTGCACCTCCCTTTCTTCATGTTTTCAATACTTTCCCCCTGTATCATTCCATTTTACTACACATAACTTAATTTCTAAACTTGGTTGTTTTGTTTTCTTTGTATGAATTACTTGGGTTGTTACCGACATTTGGGGAAAATTTCAAGTCAAGTCATAAGTCAAGTCATTTCAAGTCATAAACATTTTGTTTATGCAACAGCTCTGCTAGTAAGAACTATGCTTGTGACTTGTTGCATTATATTGAGCTAGGCTGAAATATTTTAATGACCAATTTCATTCAGACTTAAGACTTTCATTGATGGATTGTAATTGATCAGTGTGTCCTTCCTTCACTAAAGTTTCAGCTGCTGTTGATGGATTGTAATAGTTGAGAACAGCTGCGTTTAGCAGTAAATGTGAACTGAAGCTCTTGGGGTTTGAACATGGTCTCTGGAGACGGAGCTGCTCTATTCTGAGACGATCAGAATCACTAAAGCTGCCAATGCAAATCTGATTTTCAGCTCAAACTCACAGTTTCACTGTTTGATCGGTTCAACGCTCTGAACTGGATCAGTTTCACTTCTACTCATGCAGTGATGCGACAGTTATGAAGTTTGAGTGGTAGTTTCATAAGGAAAGTTTTGATCTCATGTGTAGTTCTGTGTTTGGTCTCTGTGTGTCAGTAGTGAGTGATAGTGTTTGAGCAGCTGCAGCATCAGTTCATCACTGTGACTCTGACTGACGGAGGTTTTTGTACCACTCTTTATCACTGTGTGAACATACGATCAGCCACACAAGAACCACCACTTTTTCTGCAATGAAAACTCTGACAGTAATAATGTCCAGCATCTTCAGTCTGGACTCCACTGATGGTCAGAGTGAAATCACTGTTAGATCCACTGCCACTGAATCTAGATGGAATTCCTGACTCAAGGCTTTTTGCATAACGAATGAGGAGTTTAGGAGCTTCTCCAGATTTCTGTAAATACCAGAATAAAGCATCATCCCCATCACTATATTTGTACACATCTGTGCTGGTTCTACAGTTGATTTTGACTGTTTCTTCTGGTTGAGCTGCTGTCGTTGAGGGACTCTGAGTGACGCTGATCTGTCCTCTACTCTCTGAAACACACAACAAGAAGAAAATCAACTCAAAACTCTGACAATATACTTGAAGAAATGAATTCATATCAAACTTGTGCTCCACAAACCTTGAGCAAACGCTGTGAGAGTCCAGATGAAGATGATGATGAAGGTCATGTTGATGAAGATTGTTGTGTGTGTCAGTGATGAAGTGTTAAACTCACAGCACTATAAACGCTCTCAGAGCACTGAAGCATCTGATCAATATGCAAATGAACTGATCCTGTATTTAAATGAGCTTCTAAGTGAAGTTTGCTCGTTCATTTCATCCTGTCCATCATTGCACCACCTGCACATCAAACTGTTTAATCTTTGTTTTGTACAATTATGTTGAGTGATGTTTTATCATCTGTCAGTTTATTAAGTTTTGACTATGATTATGGATATATTAAAAACGTGAAACATTTAGATTTTTCAAGGTTTTTGTATATGAATTAAACGCATGTATTTCAGCTCAGTTGGTTTAATGGACCTTAAGAAACAATACTATAGTGTTACACCCCATCTAGGGTAAAGGCGTATCATGAAAGAGTAGGACACGGTAGAGTTCTTTCTGAAAAGCAGGGCATGAGGCTGGTGCAGGAAGTGATGAAGGAGGCCTTTATAAGCAGCTAGGAGTCAGCTGACCAGGCAGGGCATGGCACCAATTAGACTGCAGGAACCAATCAGTCTTCTTCCTGGACAGAGACACACAAACAAAAGGGACATAACAACAGACAGCAGCAATGCATACTGGCTTTTATGGTGCATTGTGGGAATGTTTTGAGCATGAGCGTTATGTAATCCCTGAATAGTGCACTGACTAGTGAACTAAGGAACTGACTGAGACACACTCTTACTGACTGACTGATGACTGATGCACAAATCATGGTTTATCAATGAGAGTGAACTTAAAAAATTTTGCATAACATTTACAACCAATTCAAACCACATGAAATAAGAGTAAATGTTTTAATAAATAGCGGTAAATATCTATTTAAAGGGGATGTCTAATGCCATTTCATGCATTCTGACTTATTTATACTGCTAAAGAGTTGGATTTTCATGCTAAAGGGATAGATCACCCAAAAATGAAAAGTCTGTCATTAATTACTCACCCTCATGTCGTTCCAAAACCCGTAAGACCTGCGTTCATCTTCAAAACACAAATATTTTGATGAATTCCAAGAGCTTTCTGACCCTCCATAGACAGCAAGGATACTTCCACAATCAAGACTCAGAAACACAGTAAGGACATTGTTAAAATAATCCATGAAACATCAGTAGTTCAACCGTAATTTTAAGAAGCTATGAGAATATTTTTTGTGCACAAAGAAAACAAAAATAACGACTTTAGTCAACAATTCGTCTCCCCCGTGTCACTCTGGTACCATTTTGGTATCACAACACGCGCATACATCGTGATAACAAAATGGTTAACAGGGTTATGCGGAGGAGACAAATTAGCAAGTTCTGTTGTTGCCAATAGAGTTCAATGGAACTTGCGACCATAGTAATCTGACGAAGGGTTTGGGAAACGTAGCCCAGAGTGAGAGCACGCCCATCCACGTGCTTCATTTGGGTTACGAAAGTTGTTGGGATCCGATTCTGGATGGAATATTTTATGGCTGGATCTGATTTTTAGCCGTAGTTAATTTAGATTAATAAAGTTTTCGTTCCTTGTTTTCGATTTATGTCGATGTCACAGCTTGCAGATGATCGCTACGCAAATGCTTCGCATGCTTGTGACTATATAGCTCCGCTCACAGTACGCCTCCAGGAGAGAAGCATTAAAGCTGTATCTGTCTTTTATAAATCTGATAAAACTAAAGAATCTTCGGAAGTATGAAGGATGTAATACTACTCTATAGGTACTCAAGATCAACATGAGATTTGCAGAAACTGTGTGTTATGTCCACTTTAATCGTTTGATCAAAATTATTGCTAGGGACAATTTAGTAGTTGCTGGATATTGGCAGCTTAAGATGAATAAACTACTTGAGAAACTGCTCAAGAACATCGTTATGAGGGTTAAATAATCTGTTCTATACAAAACAAAACAAAAAACTACAACATTGGAACTGAGAAATGTGACATCATTGGTTTTTGTTTGATTTAATATCAATTTATGCACTTTAGTGTTTCTCTGATTCTGAGCATAATTGAGTCAAGCCCGTCTGTCACAGGACAGAACACAGTCTAGTAGAGCTGATTTGACTCCTAACTCAGTTTTGAGCTCATGTGTAGTTCTGTGTTTGGTCTCTGTGTGTCAGTAGTGAGTGATAGTGTTTGAGCAGCTGCAGCATCAGTACATCACTGTGCCTCTGACTGACGGAGGTTTTTGTACCACTCTTTATCACTGTGTGAACACACCACCACTGTGGTAACTCTGACAGTAATAATGTCCAGCATCTTCAGTCTGGACTCCACTGATGGTCAGAGTGAAATCACTGTTAGATCCACTGCCACTGAATCTAGATGGAGTTCCTGACTGGAGAGTGTTTGCATAATAAATCAGGAGTTTAGGAGCTTCTCCAGGTTTCTGTAAATACCAGGCTAAACAATGATCCGAACCACTCAAGTACACATCTGTGCTGGTTCTACAGTTGATTTTGACTGTTTCTTCTGGTTGAGCTGCTGTCGTTGAGGGACTCTGAGTGACGCTGATCTGTCCTCTACTCTCTGAAACACACAACAAGAAGAAAATCAACTCAAAACTTTTCATCACTTATTCTCAACTCTTTTAATTTCACGATCGAAAATGGAACCCTTCACAGGGATCAAAACACAGCTCTTATAACCCTTTTACTCAAGAAGGGCAAAGAATGTGCATCCCTTAGAATGTGCCAGTTATCTGCCTATTAGTTTAATAACTACAGATGCTAAACTTTTCACTAAAAC